TAGATAGATAGATAGATAGATAGATAGATAGATAGGGTAGATAGATGGTAGGTAGGTAGGTAGGTAGGTAGGTAGATACGTACGTACATCGTAGTTGAGCTAATAATCGCGCAGAATTACGCTACTAACAACATCTCCCTCGTTTACACAGCACAGCCGGTAAAAAGGCGACAGCATCTCGACGACGACGATGACGACGACCATCTCTCGAGGTAATGGCCTCCTGGTAACATTGGACACTCGATACGCGAGTCAAGAATCGAAGAAAATATATATTTCGTTTTTATCGACTGTCCAAGTTGTAAGTCCAAGCGCTCGGAGGATACACACGCATACGCACGCACGCACGCACGCACGCACGCACAGACCGTGTCTCTTTTACGCGGCACCGGCCGTGTCTCTTTTACGCGGCAGCGAAAAACGGAATGAAAACAAGCAAGAGAGAAGCTTTTTCGCGTTCGCGTTCTATCCAAGAGATAGACGTGAATATGTATACGTATATCACAAGCAGAAGAGAATGGGCGAGCGCGCGCGCAAAGCTAGACGAGATAGGCCTGGCCGGTGGACGAGGACGAGGACGAGGGCGGCGGAGGCGGCGGCGGCGGCGGAGGCGGAGGCGGAGGCGGCGGTTGCTGTTGTCTCCAGGCGGTTCTCTCCAACGTCGAGTAGTCCGAGTCGATGGACGAGTATATGTGCTCGGAGAGCGGTCTCCTGTGATCGTCGCTGCTGCCGCTGCTCACGGTGGTGATGGTGTTGTTGTGGTGGTGGTGATTGGTGTGGTTGTTGTTGTTGTTGTTGTTGTTGTTGTTGCTGTTGGCGATGGCGGTAGCGATGAGATTGACGGTACCGGGCAGGGTGGTGACCACTGCCTCCCGATACGCGTGATTGACGGTTAGCCTCGGCTGCGGCGACGAAGGTTGCAGTTGCAGTTGCAGTTGCAGTTGCTGTTGCATCGACGCAATGGGCAGCACCGTGCCGCAAGAGTAGGCGGGCGGGGGCGCGTGTTGCAGCATGAGCGCCGTGGTCGGCGACGACGACGACGACGACGACGACGGAGACGACGAGACGACGTCCTTGAATAGGGAACGTTGAGAACGTTCGTGGCCGCGTACGCCGCCGCCGCCGCCGCCGTCCAACGTGTACGCGTTGGCGTTCGTCGCGTTACTACCACGCTTGTAGACAAGCGGCGACGATTTACTCTCGACGGATATGTCGGGCACGATGGTGTTGACGGGCGAGGGTATCGCGTACCGCAGACGTTCCCAGAACCTCTTCTCGCCCCAGGTGAGGATCGCCGCGGCGTTTCGAAGGTACGGTCGTAGCTCGGGGTCGAGTTCCGGGCAGGCGTGTCCCGCCTGCACGACGATCAGCTGCGCGGCCCGGCCGCGGAGCGCCTCGTGCAGGGCCGCGCGGAACTCGAAACGGGACCACTCGGTCACGAGGAAGTTGCGAGTGAGCACGAGAAGCACCCGCCGGGACGCGTCCACTGCTTCCAGCACGACGGATGTCGGGGCGGACGCGCGCAGCAGGCACGGTAAGTCGCGATGATGCAGACACAGTCGAAGTCCTCCGCCGCCGCCGCCGCCGCCGCCATGCTCCAGCTCCATCGCCAACGAGCGTAGCACAAAGTCTTGGTCGTTTGGACTGTAGCAGACGTAACAATCGTAGAGACGTTGATCCGCACCGCAGCACGAGTTGGCAATGGCTGCCGTGACCGGCGGCGGTGGTGGCATCGCGCCTGTTCCACCGCTGCCGGTCATGGATTTACCGCCGCCGCCGCCGCCGCCGCCGCCACCACCACCGCCACCGCCACCGCCACCATTATTGTTAGGTTTCGCTCGCAAAAATCGCAACCCGTACTTGGAGTAGGCCCAAGCGCCTACCGGTTCGCGAAATACAAACGCCAACACGACAATGACGAGGAGAAGCAGCACCGCGGAGAGCGTGGCCGCCACCAGAGGCAGATAGTCCGATATCATGATACTCTCGATCACGCCGCCCTGGGAGAAGTAGTCGGAGCAAACGGTCTCGTTGACGTTGAGTCGGCGCCGGTAGACCGGCGGCCTGGCGTCGCCCCCGTAGTAGCACCAGACGTCGCTCGCGTCCACCACCTTGTGCGCGTTGTCGGAGACCCAGGAGGACAGCTCTTGCAAGAACTTGCACCGGCAGGACCACGGGTTGCCGCCGAGCGACAGCTCGACCAGCCGAGCGTTCAGCGTCACCTGCCACACCGGGAACGTGACCAAACGGTTGCCGCTTAGTCGCAGCACCTCGAGCGAGCGCAACGGCAGAAACGTCAGGTTGCCGATGAATCCGATCTGATTGTTCTGCAGGTAGAGCTCGCGCAAATGCGACAACCGCTCGAACTCGAATCCCTTCAGCTCGCGTATCCGATTGTCCTCCAAATGGAGGATCTGCAGATTGTTGAGGCCGTTGAACGTCCGGTTCTGGATCGACTCGATCCCACTCGCGTTCACGTACAACACGCGCATGTTCTTCCGCCCGATGAACACGTGATTCTGCAGCTCGCGCAACACGTTCCCGTCGAGATAGACCTCGGTCGCGTCCATCGGTATGCGGCGCGGTATCTCCTCGGCCGCCAGGCCCGAACAATCGACCGCGTTCGTGTTCCAAGTGCGGTCGTTGTAGCACTTGCAGCCGGCCGGGCAGGTCATCTCGCAGTCGCAGGCGTCGAAGTCGCAGCAGTGGCACAAGGCGAAACAGTGGGCCTCGTACCGGCAGAGGAACTGCTCGGACCTGGCCGTCGAGGCGGATACGACGGCGAGGCCGCGCGGCCCCGACGTCCGGCACATCACGTTGTCCAGGTCCATGATGCGCGGGTACTCCCTGGTCGATGTCTGATTGTTGATCGCCGGCAGCCAGTCCATCGAGCAGTTGCAGTCGAACGGGTTGCCGCCGATGTAGAACTCGGGCAGGGCTCGGTCCTCCGGCACCTTGGTCAGCAGCAACGACGTCAGCTCCATCGTCTCGATCATGTTGGCGTACATGTCCACCCGGGTGAGGTTCACCTTGTCCCTGAACGTGTTCGGCCGCACCACGCCGACGTAGTTGTTGTTGATGAAGAGCAGCTCGACGCTGTCCGGCACCGAGAGCGGCGACAACTCCGTGATACGATTGTGACTGGCGTCCAGCGTCTTCACCTTCGAGTCCCGTATCTTGTAGTAGTTGCCCAGGCTCTCGATGAAATTGCCGTGTATGTCCAGCCACTTGAGGTTGCCAGGCACGAACGCGTAGTCGAACCACTCGATGTGATTCTCCGACAGGTTCAACAGCAACAGGCTGGCGATGCTGGTGAACACGCCGTTGATGTCCGAGAGGAAGTTGCCGTCCAGCCTGATCGCCTCCAGCCGCCTGTTCCTCTCGAACGCGTACCGCTCCACGTGCTGCACCTTGTTCCGCGCGAGATTCAGGATCTGCAGGTTCGGCAGGTCCCACAGCATGCCGCGCGACAGGTTGCCGATGTCGTTGCCGATCAGCCGTAGTCCGGTCAGTTGGTCGAGGTTGCGGAACGAGCCGTTGTGAAAGCCGGCGATCCGATTCTCGCCGAGGTCCAACGTTTTCAGCAGGGCGAGGTCGCGCAACGCGTCCGGCACCGAGGTCAGCTCGTTCCCGCTCAGGTCCAGCTCCTTCAGGTCGGAACAGTTGCGGAAGGCGAGCGGGTCGACGCTGGCGATCGCGTTACCCGACAACGTCAGCCGATTCAGCACGAACAGGCCGTTGAAGAGCTGCGGGCCGACGGTGCGCAGCCGATTCTCCGACAGCTCGAGCGTGTGCAGGTTGTACAGCGGCAGGAACGCGTTGCTCTCGATCCGCTCGATCGTGTTGTTCCGCAGGTCGAGGATCTGCAGGAAGAACAGGTCCTTGAACATGCGCGCGTCGATGCGCGTGAGCGCGTTGTACGACAGGTCGAGCACGATCAGCCGTATCAGGCCGAGGAACGTGGTCTCGTCGACGCCGCCACGCTGTTGCTGGTCGCCGCCGCCGCCGCCGCCGCCGTCGCCGCCGCTGCCCAGTCGATTCCCCGCGAGATTCAACACCAGCAGCTGCTCCAGCCGGGTGAATATACCGTTGGGCAGCTCGCGGAGCCCGTTGTACGCCAAGTGTATCTCTCGCAGCTCCCTCGTGCTGGCGAACAGCCCCTCCGGCAACGAGTCCAACGCGTTGTAGCTCGCGTTGAACGTGCGCAGCGCGGTCAGCCCTCGCAGCGCGCCGCCGGCTATCTCCGCGATCGAGTTTCGCTGCAGGTGCAGCTCCTGCAGCTGACGAAGCCCCAACAACGGGCTGTTCTCCCGCAAACGGGTGATCTCGTTGCGCGACAGATCCAGAATTCGAACGTCCGCTCGACATTCCGCTGCTCCTTCCTCCTCCTTCTCTCCTCCTCCTCCTCCTCCTCCTCCTCCTCCTTGCACTCGTTTCGCCACTCTTTTCCTCTTTCTCTTTCTCTCTGTCGTCGCTGACTCACTCTCCTCCGTTCCATCCATCCTCTCGATCGTTTGATCGTCGTCGTCGTCGTCGTCGTCGTCGTCGTTGTTGTCGTCATGGTCGTCATCGTCCTCGTTGCCGTCCTCGTTGTCGTCTTTGTCTTTGTCTTCGTCTTCGTCTTCGTCGTCCTGGTCGTCGTCGTCGTCGTCGTCGTCGTCGCGTCGATTCAATCCAATGTCGTCGACGTCGCGCAAACGATTATCCGTCAGATTCAACGTCTGCAGATTGTCCAGCGAGCAGAGGAGACTCGCGGGCAGCGCTTGCACGTTGCTCTCGACAATCTCGAGCGTGTGCAGCTCGCGCAGACCGTGAAGAGAGTCCGGTGCCAGTTCGAGGAAACGGCTGGCACCCCACGCGTCGTTGAACGTTTGCACGGTGAGCTTCTTCAGCTCGAGCAACGGTTGAAACGCGCCGCCCGGTATGCGGAGCACCTTGCAGCCGTGCACGTGCAGCTCGTGCAGGCTGGTCAACCGCTGCCAGCTCTGCCCGTTGAAGCTGCTCTCGAAGTGATGGACGTCGCTGCAGCGTATCCGCAGCTTGAGAGCGCCGTCGAGGCCGGACGCCGCGGCGACCAGGCCGGCGATCGCGCCCGGATCCAACACGCGGAGGGTGCAGTCGGCCGATCGCGTCTCGTTGCCACCCTCGGACAACAGCCACTTGCACGAGTTGCCGATGCCCACCGATTCCGAGAGTATCGTCGACGCCAGGCAGAGCAGGGCCGCGTTCATCAGCGTCACGAAAACATAGTTTGCTGTCATCTTGCGCGACGGTGGTCGGTGCGCGCGCGCGCGCGCGCGGAGCTCTTCGGTCAGCTCAGAGCCG